CAACCAACCTCTGAGGCTAAACTTGCCTTCCATTGCCCAGTTGTTGCCACACACTGGTAGAAAGGGCATGCTTTCCTTATCTAGGGAACTTGCCTTTTCAGCCTGGAGAAGGGAATGCTACGAGGAGACCATATAGCAGCCTTCCTGTACTTAAAGGGGCCTACAAGAAAGCCAGAGAGGAATTTGTTACAAAGGCGTGTAGTGACACGACAAGGGGAAATGGATTCAAACTGAAAGGTTTAGATAAGATATCAGGAACAAATTCTTTACTGTGAGGGTGGTGATGCACTGAAACTGTTTACCCAGAAAAGTGGATGTCCCATCCCTGGAAGTGTTCAAGGCCAGGCTGGATGGAGCTCTGAGCAACCCGGTCTAGTGGAAGGTGTCCCTGACCATGGCAGGGGGGTTGGAACTGGATGATTTTTATGGTCCTTTCAGCCCCAATCATTATGATTGTATTTGATAAATAAACACTGGTAAATGGGTAACTGGGCATGTTCAAACCTCTGCACCCTCTGCACTTCTTCCCACCATGAAACCCTCCCTCCAAGAGCTATATCTCCTGAATTGGCACAGCTGGAAGTTGAAATCTTCCCCCAACTTTCCCCACCTGCAGTGGGGCAGGCTGAGGGGCTGACTGCAGGGATGTTGTAGGTAGTGGGAGTGGAAAAAGCAGTAGCAGGAATGGAGTGCACAGAATTGCTCTTTTTTCCTTTCTACATCTTGTGTCTATTTGTGGCTGTAGCTGTTAATTTTTACCCTTGTCCTGCTCCTTCTGTGGCTTTTGGGGAATAAAGTAATATGGACTGCATTAGCAATTAGCCAAAGACACAGTGTGAAGGTGTCCCAACTTGCTTGAAAGGGGCCAAGTGAAAATTTTCACATTCTGAAGCTAATGAGGAAGACAAGATGGGAGAGAAAACTGCTTTTCCGTGTAGATCCTTTGTGAACCTAATAGGATGACAGACCTCAGAGAGGGTGCAATACTGATTATTTTGCATTATTTTGCTTCCTTTTTGCTTTCTACTATCTGAAAATAAAAAGGATCACATTTCATCTTCTCAACCTATCCAATTTCTAGTTGTAGAGGAATCTCAGAGGGGGTTCAAGTAGCATGATAAATACTATAATTTGAATAATCTTTTTCCTTGCATATATTCTTTTATTTCAGTAATTAATAGTTAAGGCATGTAAGTAAGTAATATCCTGCTATACTTAGAGAAGAAGGAATAAAGAATTTATTACATGCAATGCAAACCACTTTCTATGGATAAATACAAGCCTGCCATTTAAGGCTTCTTTGCAACATTTATTTCCAAGAGTTTGTAAAGATTTGTTTTGAGTGGAGCAGGACAAGCTTTCTCTTCCTCCATGCCTGCCCAAAGGAGAACATGTTTCCTCTTTCTATCTATTATGACCTTCTACATAACTGCAGAGTATTTTCTCTTTTTTTACCCTGTCTTTTATACATAACAGCTGAAGATGGCACATCTGCAATAATACTTTTGCTGTCATCTTTCACCTCCATTTTTCCCTCAGCTTGCCTGTTCCTGTGCTTTCATACATTGGAACCCACTGGTCTGGCACATTTACCTTGTGTGTTTGATTTATTCTCTGGGGGCACTGAAAAGGCGGAGAGCAGAATTCAGTTCTTCTTACAAACCAAGGATGAAAGCAATCCACCCTTGCAAATTTCCTTCTGAGTGGGATTCAGAAGATTGAAATACTGCTTACTAAGTACGGGAATTATTATTTTGCCAACAAGCTTGTCTAAATTAGCTGGAGAAGAAAACTATAAAATAAAGCTTAAAATGTTTGGTTTTGTCTTTGGAGAGGAGGTGGAAGCTGCATAATTTTTCAATATTACCATTTACTCCCCCAGAGGTAAGGTTAGATCAACATTTGCAGTTTAAACTCCTGTTTCCAGAGGTTAACAACTCAGCTGTAAGGCTTCAGCCTCAGTTTAACATTTGGCAGAGTTGCTGCCTTAAAATAGTACCTCTGGTACATATATATAATAACTTTTCCCAAAGGGTCTCAGAGCACTTTAACACACTGAACTGTCTAATGGCTTGTTTCATCTATCATCAAAATGCAACTACTTTTGGGGTGGAATACAGTTTCAGAATGAAGAGATCTATACAAAACTTTAAGTAAGGGAGGAATGATAATGCTTGCAAAATTTAGAATACTTTGGTTTTGCTGGTATTTTAAGTGAGTAACATCTGCCCTTTCTCTAGAAATGCTTTTGTAGTCACAGATATAGTACAGCAATGACAAGATTTGACATTGTATTGAAAGGACAAAGACATTTTTATATACTTTAAAATCTTCCAATCATTCCTACTTGCAAAGCCTTTCTATAAGATTATGCTCTTATTATCTAACTGTTGCTTAACCACAATGGAACATTCTTTAAAGTACAATAAAATTTAAATCTCAGATTAAGCTAATAAAAATTAAGCATAGCTATAATTACCTTAGTACTTCCTTCTAAAGATTCAACATTTTGGCACTGACATGTGAAAAAAGGAGATTATTTGTCATGTTGCTACTTCGGCAGGACAAATTCATAGTGTTTTTCTCAAGAACTTGTCAAGACAGACAGCAGTGATCAAAATATTAAAATCCATACGCCTGAAGTTAGCATTTGGTTCACTGTTGTGCTGGTTTGGGCTGGAATAGTGTTAATTTTCTTCACAGTGGCTGGTATGGGGCAGTGGTTTGGATTTGTGCTGAATACAGTGATAATAATATAAAGATGTTTTTGTTATTGCTGAGCAGGGCTTACATAGGGCAAAGACCTTTTCTGCTTTCTGTACTACCACACTGGCAATGAAACTGGGGGTGTATGGGAAGATGGGAGAAGAAACAGCCAGGACAGAGACCCAAATTAACCAAAGGGATATTTCAGATCATATGACATCATGCTCAGTATATAAAGTGGAGGAAAGAAGGAGGAAGGGGGGACATTTTGAGTGATGCCATTTGTTTTCCCAAGTAGCTATTACGTATGATTAGGCCCTGCTCTCCTTGAGAGCTGAACACCTGCCTGCCCATGGGAAGCAATGAATTAATTCCTTGTTTTGCTTTGTTTCTGTGCATGGCTTTTCCTTTTCCTATTAAATTGTCATTATCTCAACCCACGAGTTCTCTGGCTTTTACCCTTGTGATTATCTCCCCAATCCTGCTGGGGGGGGAATGACTGAGTCACTGCATGGGGCTTGGCTGCTGGCTGGGGTTAAACCACAACTGTTTAGTCTCTAAAATGAAAATTAGATTATTTTTAAACATGCTGACCATAATGTGAATGTGTAAAGGAACTCGAGCCATCCAATAACAAACTGGAATGAACAGGGGTACCTATATGAAAATTTCTTCGAGAGACTGTGGAGTGAACAAACCAGGAAATCAGGATACTAGATAGGTACTAGTGAGCTTAAGTGACTCATACAGTCCAGCAGTTTGAAAGTGCACTCTTTGCTTTATTCATCAGAAACAAAGCATTAAATGGTTTCCTTGAAAAAAGTGTGGATTGACAAACTAAGCACTTAAACACCTGTCTGCCCCCTTGCAGTGGTGCCTAAGGCTGTATCTACACCACTCAGTAACAGAGGCACTTGCTTGCAGTCAAGTAGACTGTTTAGTTAGTAACATGTTCCTTGGCACAGTTTTCCAGAGGAATGGCATTCATTAGAAACAGTGCCAAGAGACAGTTTAGACATTGACATCCAAATGTTGGGAGGGAAGGGGAGAATTTGGGTTTGTGGATGTACATTGTCCAAAGACTGGAGTTTGGTCCTGATTTTTCTGCAGCCAGGTATGGATATAGCCCTGGGGATCTCAGGTGCTGAGATTCCAAACCTCAGTGAAGCTTAAGCAAGATCAAAGTACCAAATAATTGCATCTAGAGCAGTTCTGAGGAAAAAGTAGGAAATGATTAGTCTAAGGAGGGAAGCACTAGTGACTTTCAGAGCTTTGCAGCACCTTAAGGGGTGAACATGTTTGCTTTATTAGGTGCCTAAACTCGACCTAAGTCCTGCTTAATGCCTTGAAGTCAAAAGAGATATAATGTGGGGGTGTAGCATGTCTAAATATATGTTAAGAGTGGTGGCAAATGAACTTTGAATTGAAGAAGTACCTCAACGCCAAGCATGTGTTAATTCACCTGATAATACTAATCAATTTATAAGGTTGTGCCAACAGACTCCAAGTGTAAACAAAACTATTTTGAATCTGGGCATGGTACACTATTTACAGGTACCCAGAGACGGTGTTTTTGATTTTTTTTTTAGTGGAATAAATCCCAAACAATGTAAAACAAATTTCTTGACTCAAAATTAAGACAATAACAACATAAAAATACCTGGAATGTTTCTCTTCAGGTTAGGCTAGTTTATAGATACCTTAGATCAAAAAAAAAGCTTATGAATTGATTATATTCTTTGAGAAAACATTAAGGTAACAAACATAGGTCTATTCACCTAAAAATGCCTTTGCAACAGTCAATTCAAAGGAGCTTTGCACACTTTGTAACCCTGAAGCTGCTGATTCTGAGTGACAGTTAAATCAGATCTGGCTCTTCTCTTGCAGCTTAATCTCACTTAGCTAGGAAAAAAATGTAAAAGGGCCATAGATCAAAGAGAACTCTAGCTGAGAAAGAGAAATGACAGGGAAAAAGATGACCTAAATTTTCAAAGTGACTGATGATTTTTGATATTTCAATTTTGGGGCTCCTGATTTGAGACAGCTTAATGGATCTTGATAATCAGAATGCAGTTGCTCAGCATATTGTTTGAATCCCCACAGAGAGTCTTATAAATATCCCTAAACTCACACAGGCAGGATCTGAACAGAAGCAATTCCAATGGCAGTTGGAATATTGCAATGCTCCCAGGTTTCTAGAAAGAGAATGGTATAATAACTGAGGTTTTCAGAGATCTTGCAATAAAAATATTTTTCCTTCTGGTTTTCTTTTTTTTTTTTTCTTTTTCCAACAGATATCCAGTTCAAAGCTATCTAATCCACCATGCTTGAAGTTCCTTTTTCTCTAAAAGCATTCTAAGAGTGTGGTTTGGTTACCTACATTCACCAAGCATGGTATGAGCATTGTCCTCTGCAGTGACAACATTGAGCTGTTTCTGCCTGGTTGCTTTTTGTTTTGTATAGAGATACTCTCAAGCATTCAGGTATGTATGTATAAATTATACCTTGCTTACTCCATCCCATGCCGTACAGGTGGAACAGGTTTCTCCTCCTGCAGAGCTCCCGTCCATGTCCTTCTGAAGCCATTCAGTTAGTTCCTTCATGCCAATAGCATACCTGTTTTCCTTTGGTTCTGCCTTCTCTCCCAGGATTTCTGCCAGGCCAGCATGCTCCTCCAATGGTTTCTCTTCCCTCTGGCAGCTAAGATGGCATCCCAGCAGTCTTGCCCTCAAGGAATGAACTGCCAGAATGGGCTCTGGCTCCAGCTCAGCATATGGAGGCTCATTTCAACCCTGCCTCCTCAGGCTCAGACCAGTAAGTCCCCGAATTTCCGTGAAGAAGAACAGCTCCTGTTGGCTTCCATGTTGTGGCTCTGGCTCTGGCCCATGACTTCACAGTCCTTCCTCCTAGCCCAGCATCAGCCAACACTCAGTATTCTGCCCATCAGCAGGACTCAGGAGCATCACCTATCTGAGATCACTGCAGACTACTGCACACTTTTTGAGGTTTAGACTTCCCAGATGCTTTACACAGCAAAGTAAGTAAAGTTTTGAAAACAAAACCATTTTATGCTGCCCTTTTGTGCAATAAAATAAAATGTACCTCTCCCTGCTAAGTTAGTGTATTGGACTGTACTCCCAGGGGCAGAAGAACAGCTACGCAGCATTTGCACGTTTCATAAACAAAGAAAAACCAGGCTTTTTTCCCCCACAATTTAACTTTTGCAAGGAAAAAAAAATAAAAAGAAATTCAAAGCTCAAATTATATGCGTTTGAGACATGGTGTATGGTAGGAAACTGTAGAACATTCATGTTTCAAATCTTCCTATTTTATCTCCCCCTCAAAAAATAAGGTCTCATTTTTCAGAAAAATCCAAACAAGTTTAAAACTTGTACTGGGGATTTTTGGGACTTTCTCTTCAAAGAACTCTTAAAAGTCTACTGCAGTGGCTTGGGAGTGCATATAGTGGGTTTACTTTAAAACTACAAACTCTGGAAGCATTTGGATTCTTGTCAGCTCTATGGTGATTCTGCAGGAAAACTGGGAGGGCTTCAGCCCTTACTTGACTATGGATCAGTGAATGCTTGATGACTGAGATCTTGCTATAAAAGATAATTTTTTTATAAAATTTAATCTTTAATTAAGAAACTCATTCAGCAAAATGTATGCAAACAGTTCTGATGTTAAATCAACAAGTCATTTTTTAAAATTGTTATTGGATGAAGACGATGGAGCTTTCCCCCCATGTGCCTTGACTTGATACCTAACTCAAGGCTTTGGTTTTTTTCATTGGGGTTTTTTAATTTTTTCCCAGATTACCATAAGCAGTGTTTCACTGCTTAGGTCCAGATGGAACTACCTTTCGTGGATTACAGAGCATATGAACAGTAGGATTATTTTATTGCTGGACTGGGGACATCCACTGATTCTGTCCTTAATACACCCTTTTATTATGAACAATTACGTATGTCTCTGGAAACTGTATGATTCCACACGGGATACAATGACTGGGCTTAATGAGGTGCTTTATGAACACAATTCAAAATTAACTTTGAATTTCCTGGCTTTTGTTGATTTTTGTCACAACTTTAACATTTTTCAAACATAAAATCATTACATTAAAAGAATAAATCTCTATTTTAGCTAAGATTTATTATACCCCAGTGAGATAAACCTTGTTTTCAGTTTTCAGTAATAGCATGATTTATTTCCAAGCAGTTGAGAGCTAAAAAAAAAAAAGAGAGAGATAGATCTGAATGAAAAATAATACTTCCTAACAAAAAAAGTACATTTTTACAGGACCTTTAAAGAACTCTCAATCAGCCCCAAGAGTGAATATATCAAGTCTCTCACTCTGACAGGTTTGTGATATACTTCACTTATTCTTAAGTACAATTTAATATGTAAGCATTGATCTGAATTACTATTTTTAAAGTTTTCTGGAAGATTGAGGATTTGACATTTCCTCATGTATTCAGCTGCTGAGCAGACTCGGAATCACTGATGCTAAGTGGTCAGCTACCATAAACTCCTTAGAGGGGATTACTATTATATAACTTACTATTTTGCCATTTGTAGTCTTTGTACAAAACTACTGAGACAGCAAGTGTTTGGCAAGGCATGTGTAGTAACCTGAACACCACTTGTAGGGCTTTCTCACAGAGATAGATAGATTTTTTTCTTTTTTTTTCTTTTCTTCTGTTTCAGCATTCTCTTTCCACTAGGTCCCAAGTGCTCTATTTGAATGTAAGTTGAGACAACTCAGATCTGGGAGACTCCATTCACTTGAAAGGAAGAAGGGTGTTCTCCAGCTGCTGACAATAAGAGAGGGTAGAACAGACAAGGGCAATAATTGGAACATGTTTGTTCCCCAATACATCTGGACAAAGCAGGTATAAATACATAAATCCACTCACAGCAGAGTCCCAGTTTGCAGCTGGTGGCACCTCTGAGCCTTTTGAATAGCAAATGTTTTTCTCTTGCTTGTATTTCTCTGTTCCACATTTCATCCTCAGGGGCAAGCCTGGCTTAAGTCATTTTTATCCACCTGGAAAGAGCCTGTAATTTATCCCTTTATTAATTAACTGCTTTAAGGCTTGTCCCACTCTCACCCCATTGGTGAGGGTCTGTATCTCCCATGGAGGCCACCAATTCACCTTTCCTATTTGGAAATATTTGCTCTGTCTTCACTGATTGCCATACTGTGCTTTCTTGCCCTGCTTGCTGACGCCCTTGCTCCTCTCAGTACACATGCCAAGACACAGAGGATTGAGATGAGAATCTTGCTTTCCCCTTGCTTTCTTCAGTCCAAAGTTTGATGTCCAGTGTTGCGGATCAGTAGCAGGGAAGTTTTCCCCCACCTGTATTCTATTTCTCCTTTTAGGGAAAAAATGTTCTCTTAGGGGCTTGTTTGGACTGTTCTAGTCCAACAATTCTTATTTTGGCACTGAATATGTTATTCTTTCAGGGATCCCATCTTTTCAGATCATGACCTCAAATTTGTTGACTACTTTTCTAATGTATTGCCAATGAGATCACCTTTTCAGACTGTCATACCCATTGCCTTTGTACTGGTACCCATTCCTAAGATGATAGGACTCTATGGACTAAGATCATCTTCCACAGTAAAGCTCTGAACTTTCTGAATTCCCTCACCAGTTTTTTTATGATTCAAACAGTGCTATAGGTGGTCTTAATGGCTCAGTACCCTCTCAGCCACAGCAGATAATAGGATGACAATGAAACGGATTGAGGACAACAAATACTGGCCCAAAAATTTCTCTATATGTTAGTAACTTGCCCAGTAATTTTTCATGTACTGTAAATGAGATCATGTATCCACACATGATAGGATACCTGAGATGCAAGATAGCTACTTGCCCAGACCCAGTAAAGTGCAAGAGAGTCTATTTAAACTTCTGTGCAGGATAAAACTCTGAGTCATCCCCTTAAGTGTCTGAGCTTATTACCAAAGGAAGAGCAGACCTAACAGACTTCTAATGTAGTGGGTGATCTGACCACCAAAGGAAGTCTCCTACTCTGAGTTGTCCTTGGAAGCCTACCTCTTCAGTGACTTTGAAGACAGTCTGACAATATGAGCTTAGTAAACCAAAATTAGCTTCTGTGAAAATCCCTGGGGTCTATTCAGCCATTTCCAGCAGTTCTAGCAAACTATAAAGATTTACATTATTTAAATATAGATCGCAATTATCTATTGGAAAAATTATCTATAAAGAAACCACAGTAGAGTTTTAATGAACTGAAAAATCCATTCATGTGTTTTCAAAGAAATTTTTCTGGGATAATTAGATACTTTCTTAAATCAGTCTGAGAGTCAGACAAATTACTGGCAAACCAATGCATAAGAGATGACTAATTCTCATATACTAGTGTCACCTAGGCACTACTATGAATAATGCATTCCAAAGCATAAAATAGAAAGTACCTGAATTAAACCCCATGTCTGACAGTATCTGAAGGGAAAGAGGAGTGAATGAGGAAGGGAAATGAATATGAATAGTCACTGAGACTTCTCAATCGACAGAGAGATTGAATCTGTTTGTCCATTTCATGGAACTATTCAGGCTGCAAACCAGGTAGAATAAAAGCAAATGAAGGACAAAGAAAAACAGCACAAGAAAGAAGATCATGTATTTATTTTTTTTATTCTCTTTTGAGGGTAAATTCCAACTGCCAACTTCCTCTATGTAGCATGGTGGCAGATGAATATACTTTTTTATTTTCACTATGCAAAGGTCATCTTCACCTGAAAAACAGGAACAGAATGTGCGTTAGCAGCATCTTGCACAGCCACTAGACAATCACAATTAATTTTCTCAGACAGTGTTACAAATTCAGACAGCAGCAACAAAAATCTTGCTAAAAGAGGCATCTTTTGTTCTTCTCTCTTCTTCCCCACCTCACTCCCAAAGACACAGACCTGATATTTATTTTGTACTGACCCTAACATGTACCATTTCCCTCTGTGAGCCACTTCCACATGCTAAAGCTGCAGAAAGCAAAACTAGACAGTATGATTTTGTGCCCTGTTAATGAATAAAAGTGATCTTCCAAGGACATGGCAGGACCTGACAGAAACCAGAGCTGGTCAAAGGGAGGGGGCAGGGCTGCAAAGCTGAGGAGAAGGGAGAAAGGGATGGGATAGATTTCTATTGGGGAATGATAAATAGGCAAGCAAGAATGGAGTTGTGAAACACAAGACCTAGAAATTGCCTCACCTCAGCACAGGACTGAAGTGGTACTGGATCTTGTCACCTTTCAGGAAGGTAAAATCTTGTATCCAAAGCAAACTGCACACTCTCATCAAAAAGACTGACTGGGATAGAAAGTTGCTGCCTATGCTTACCAGGCAGAACCAGGAACAGAGAAGAAATCACTCCCATTTTGCTCAGTCTGAGCTGTATGCACAACTACCTGGCAATGACATGGATGCATGTCTGTATTCTAGATGGTTTTTTCTGGGTTTCCCTTTCCCCATCCTCGACGTGGGGGAGCCCAGTTCTAGCTCCTTCTCCGTCTGAAGAACCATTTCCGACGTCTTGGTGGACGGGGAAGGGGGACTCCAGACACAGGGTTTTTCAGGCCCCGAGCCTGGAGGGGAGAGGTGCCCTCCCCTCCCCCCAGCACCCATGTGGCTCCATGGCAGGCACAGAGACAGCACACCGGGCGTGGAGAGGAGGCAAGAGAGAGTTTATTGTTGGGAAGGGGTTTATAAAGCTTTTAGGAGGGTCAAAGGGGAACCAATCACAAGTTCAGGGTCACACAGAAAAAACCATCAGGTAAAGGGTCAACAGCCAATAGGAAGGGGTTAAACAAAGGACCAATGGGACACCTCGGGACACCTTTCCCAGGACATTCCTGCATGGGAGATAACAGTTGCTGTGGGGGGGTGTTGGGAAGAAGAAACACGTGTTTGCAAAGGGACCACAAAGAGCCATTTTAAGACATGTTTAAACAAGTTTCTCATCAGATATAGTGCTACAGTTTTTCTACTTGATTATTTTCTGAGCACACGCTGATGTCTGATGAATAGACAGAGCAAAACTGATGTAACACCACACACAATAACCTTGAATGGTGACCCTGTGGTTCCCTGGTTGTACTTTTGCATAGTTTCTCCATAAGCAAAACTCATTGCCAGGCAAATGAACCATAAACCTTATTTGTATTCTTGAACTCCCTTACCCTACTTGTCTCCATAGCGGGTTGGCTGCATGTGGACTGCCTTTGGGTATTGTCCCCTGCTTAGGAATAATTTGGGAGTGTGCTAGTTGGCGTAGGTCAAAAGCATGCCAAGGTTTGTTCCAGAACCAGTATGATGCCTGGCTCTAGTCTGTTTTACATGTTACAATTCTATAATTCTCTGAAGTTTCACCTCAGGTACTTACACAATAATTATTCTCCAGTCGTAACTGCTATCATTCCTCAATACAGCAGTAGAAAACTGATGGATGTATTTCAGCCTATTTTTTGAAAGTTTAATGAAAATATGATAGAAACAGAGAAAAATTTATTTTGAAACAGCTCTATGGAGGTGTCATATGGGCCGAGCTTCTGCTTATAGCAGAAAGATGCCCTAACCTCCAGTCCTTTTTCTGCAAAGCTGCTTTCTAGTCTTTTGGCATCCAGGATTGCAGAATCACAGAATCACAGGACAACTGAAGTTGGAAGAGAATTCATCTGGTCCAACTCCTCACTGCCTAAGCAGGGCCACCTAAAAGCAGTTGTCCAGGACCATATCCAGATGGTTTTTGTGTATCTGCAAGGACGAAGATTCCAGAACCTCCCTGGGAAACCTGAGTCAGTGCTTGGCCACTCTCACAGTGAAAAAGTGTTTCCAGATGTTCAGAGGGAACCTTCCGTGCTTCAGTGTGTTCCTATTGTCTCATAAAAATTCCAATAACATCTAAAAGCAGTCACCTTGAAAGAAATAATACAGACTCTTGGGTGGGTTAAGACGTGACTGACAGGTTGGTCTAGATGATGTGTGGAAGTTCTTTCCAAACTCAGTTATTTTATTATTGTATGATTTGAGCTAATATATGTGATTTTGCTAGTGTGATAAAGAAGTTCTGGGGTTGTGTCTTTCTTAAGCAGTCATGAAGCAGAAACTGTGACTCATAGATGCATGAAATATAATTAAAGGCATTATAAAACAAAGTTATTGTTTTCACTGATTTCTCAAAAGGTGCTGGCTGTGTAATTTAAATACTTGGTTTGTCCAAAAAACTAAATCTAAATTAAAGATAGCTTGCAGAATAAAAGTAAAATTTGTTTATTCTTATTAAAATAGTTTTTTAACATTATGTGTTTAGCAGAGCTGTTATGCAGACATAAAGAGTCAAAGTGTCTAGAATACTATTCAGAAAAATGAGAATGTTTCCCAGACAGAAAGCAAAAGAATGATTATAAATGCTTCCCTTTACTGGCAGCTCTTTTCCTTCCTATTTCTTCTGATCACACAAGTTCAGTCAAGCAAATACATTTCTCCTTGTCCTTTTGTTTCCAGCTATGTTGAAAAATTCATCCCAATTATGTGACTACTGCATCTGGTCTCAAAAAATGACATCATACGATATTGAAAACGTTAGCAATGCATTACCTAATTTATCAGCCTTCCTGATATACCAGCTTTTCGCTAATCCTTTCTTTTATTTTTTTAAGGGTCTGAGATTGAATAAGAAAGTTGTATTTACAATCAGGTTTCCTGGGCACACTATGTTTGACTACTCAGCAGTGGTCCATAACATCTGGGCTAACAGAAGAGGAGGTTTCACTTGACAAGCCTTTCTTTACTTAAGTCTAAAGTATTATTTACCTTCAGATAAGTAACCAAACCCTGGAAAGAGAGAGTTAGATAAAGAAAATGAGCAGATCCAGTTGACTTAGACAAAGACTGGGTTTGGTTTTTCTTGATTTCCTTGTGAAGGCACACAGTTGTTGAGCCATGCACATGTAAATACAGCTGCTGGTTAAAAGCAAAACACACTGAATATTGGATATTCCAGGAAAATGAGTTTATTGATGGTACAAGATGAAGATGAGAGTAATGAGATGGAATAAGGTAATGAGATTACTTTATAAGTCCAAGTGCAAGGTGCTGCATCTAGGTTGGCATGAGAGGAGTCTGACCAACAGAAGTAACACAAATTATGTTGTTGATCAGTTACTGCCTGAGAGCAGTTTGGGCCTCCTGTACATATTTTACCTTATCACTTCTCTTCAGAGAGAGAGACCAGAAGTCCACATCTTATATATGCTTTCCTCTGTCCATAAAGGATTATATATATTTTTTACACAGCAGTGGTGCATAAATGGCCTGAATCAAATGAGCAGACAGACCATTTGTAGCAAGTGAAACTTGTTTCTTTAAGGATTATGTGTTTTTTAATAAAACTTCTAATCTTCAATCAATAAAAGGAGTCAGAAAATGGAAAATTGCAGTTCCTGTCAAAAATGTGAATTACAATCACATTCAAAAAAATGAGGAACCATAGTGAGATCTTCTTGAAACACTGAGACACATTTTAATAATTCCTCTGTGATGTTATCATGTGAAGAGGTAATTCAAGACTGTCTCAAAGATCTGGGATTGTAAATACTCTGTCAGAATTCATCTTTAAAGTTAATTCCCATCTCAATCCTGCCAGCATTGAGTGGGATAAGATTTTACCTCGATTTCCATTTTTTGCAGAAAAGAAATAAAAAGATTTTTTTTAAAAAAGGTTCCCATTCTCTTTCTTATTTTGTGAATAAGAGAAAAAGATAATTAAAAAACAAAACAAAACAAAAAAAAAACCAACCCAAAAAACCTCAACCACGACCTCTTTTCTGAAATACATGTTCCAGTACTGATTTTAGCATTTTTAACAATTGAACCAGCTTAAGGAGAAAGGTGCATGAAATTTTTAACTTATCAAGTATGGAAATTTAACAGCAATCAACTTCCTGTTAAAATGAAAGGAGTGGTAGTAATGTTGGTGAAAAGTGATATATTGATTATTTATTCCTCTACAAAACACAGGGTAAAGGATGAGGGGTTATTGAATGAAAAGGAGAAATGCTGATTAAGACAATGAAAAAAAAACTAATGTGACATAGAAACATAAAAAAACCAATATGACAAAAAGTGACTTAAATGATGATCATTTTGAATTGGGCTTGTAATGAAACCTGTTTTAGAGCTCAGCAAACCCAGTAGGGACACAAAATACAAGGATACCAACGCATACTGCAATTTGATTGAACATTTTGAGTGATGTCTCTCTCCTTATCTAACCAGATGACATGGAGAATAGGAACAATGTAGATATAGATAACAAATATTGCTGTGAGGAACTGAGGAAAATGAGGCTTTTAGCATAGACACACACAGTGAGACATCTCAAGTCAATCATGAGAATACATTAGTTCCTCAGTAAATCTGACTTGAAGAACCAAACTGCTTGGATCACACCCATCTTTATCTCCTTAAAACTTCCAGCTAAGGAGAGGGAGCGTCTTTCTTAGATCAGGCTCATTGCACAGTAAGTTTGATAAAGCTGTAAACTGCATTTTTTACCAAAAACCTGTAAGAATAAAGAGTCTAAATTTTGAAGTTTAAAAAAGTATTTCAGTGACAAACAACATTCTGAAAACATGCAATTGGAAGGCAACTTTTGTTGATGGAGACTTTGCAATCACTGTTATCTCACAGTCCATCCTTTACAACATCTCAGGGTCTTCTTTGGACAAGCTTTATGTTTATATTTAAAGGACAACTGTATGTGTGGTGCTGAAAAGGTTAGGGGTGAGAAATTCTAGTGGAAGATGTGAAAATGAACTATCAATGGTTACAAAGAAGACTATCTTGACTGGAAGGTCCTGTGTGGTCTTGTAAAAATAAGAATTTCCTATGAATTTAGATACTCTGGGCTCTATGGGTGGACCCCTGAGACAAGCCAAGGAGAGGGGGAAGAGCAGAGAAAGAAGGGGAGAGAAGGGGAGTGGAGGAGAGATTAAATTGGAACATTAACACTAAATTTAAAAATATCAGTCTTTTCCTGAAATTTTGATTTTCATAGAAATTTTTCTACTAGACTTTATCCAACCAGCTCTATGGGCCACCATGAAAATTACAGTGCAACTCACCTCTTGCAATTCATAAATGAAATATAAATGCTTTAACTAAATGGCTCAGACAAGCAAAAGCTCATCTACTGCTAATTTTAAAAAGGTATTTTTCCTTTGTAAGTGTTTCTGATCAAAAGAGACAGATGTCTCCTAGAGAGTGCAGCAATTTGTTATTATCAGTTTTTACAATACAGAGGAGCATAATGGTAAGGCAAACTCATTTAGTAGCAGGGATTAATAATGAAGTACTTTAATTAAGAGTAGGATCTGAATCAAAACCCTGGCTCCAAATGCCCCTTAACTTGTGAAAGGAACTTCACAGTCCAAATCATAA